GATGCATGCGTGGAAAGACATCATGCTAGAGATCTAAGCCCTTAAGCCACATTTCTGGTTGGTGCCCTTTTGCGCTCTGTTTGAGGGCCATCTCGGGACAAAAAGGGTGCCTCTGGAAACGTGTGTTCTAGCACCAAGCTCCTCCAAAATAGACCTGTTCAAGGAGTTTTTGTTGGTGCCTGTTTGCGCTATGTTTGGAGGCCGCCTCGGGGCAAAAGAAGGTGCATCTGGATCAAAAGAAAGAAGAAAACAGGATCAAAGAGTAAGTCTGAAAGGTCCCCTAGTCCATTGGTTCCCTGGTCCTTTCGTACCCCAGTCCATTAATTGGCCCCATGGTCCTTTGGTCCCCTGGTCGTCCCCTGGTCCTTTCATCCCTGGTCCTTTGGTTCCCTGATCCTTTGGTACCCTAGTGCTTTGGTTCCCCAGTCTCTTTCCTGGCCGCGGTCCTTGTCCTGGACGGTCGTGGCCCATTGATCAAAAGCACGAGATGTGCGAAAACAAAAAGCACCCAGTTGGTCCTTGCGTCGCTTTCAGAGTGCCCTTCATTTGATGATGCAATGGGGTGTGTAGTTTTCGGTGATGATCTATTTTGTTGCGTGTACGTACCGCGACGGGCCGCGACGGGCTTTTTAAAGGTCATCGCTCGCATATCCACACCAACTATGGCACACCCTCGCCCAACTTTGCTTATGTGTTGCAGGCATCCTTTCATTGTCCTTTGGTCGCCCACCCTGCTGCTGTCCTTTCCCTATATAGTCTCTTGTTCTTTTCGTTGCTCGCTTGCTTTTCTGTTTCATAACTGATAGTATTAATGTGTTTTTATCTTTTCACCCAAAAGAGGGCACCTGGGAAAAGGGCATGTGCATCAGCATCACACTCAAATTAAAAGGCAATCAATAAATACCGCGCGAAAGAATCTTGATAGTATTTTCTTTGGTTTATGATCCCACATCCTACTCCTGGTCCCCTGGTCCCCTGTCCACTGGTCCCCTCCTTTCCTTATTGCTGTTGCTGGTTGTTTGCTTGTTACTTCGTGTGTGTGCTTTGCTTTTGCTCATTGTTGCTTGTGTGTTTTTGCAACCAAAGAGACATGACCATGTGAGAACACACTTTCCAGATCAAGGGCCGCCATGTTGGCTAGCTGTAGGATGACAAGACCCAGGTGCTTCTGGAGGGAGGCGCAATGCCACCATGTTAGCTAGTGGAAAGTACAACAACACCTATATACCTTTATTGTGATGCTGCTGGGTGCTGCGGGGAGGATTGCGCCCTCCTCCCAACCCCTCTAGCATACTGTTTTGGAACCGCCCACGCAAAAGCCAAGACAAAAAGGGGACACGAAGCAAAACCAAGCCAAACACAACCAAACCAAACCAAACCAAACCAAACGAACAAACAATCAACACTGCTTTTCGCGACTACTACTACTACTACTACTACTACTACTACTACTACTACTACTACTACTACTACTACTACTACTACTACTACTACTACACCTACTACCTAGTACCTACTACCTACTACCTACTAATTACTACCTACTACCTACTAACTACTACTAACTACTACTAACTGCTACTAACTACTACTAACTACTACTAACTACTACTAACTACTACTAACTACTACTACTACTGCTACTACTACTACTACTGCTACTGCTACTGCTACTGCTACTGCTACTGCGACTACTGCTATACTGCTACTACTGCTACTGCTACTGCTACTCCTACTACTACTACTACTACTACTACTACTACTACTACCCACTACCACTACTACCTACTACCTACTACCTACTACCACTACTACCTACTACCTACTACCTAAGACATACTACCCACTACCTACTACCTACTACTCCTCCTCCTACTCCTACTCCTACTCCTGCTCCTCCTACTACTACTACTACTACGACTCCTCCTGCTGCTGCCGCCACTACCACTACCACCACCACTACCACTACTGCCACTACCACTACCACTACTACTGCTGTTGCGGCTGCTGTTGCTGCCACTACTACTTCTACGACTACTGCTGGACAAGACTTGTTTTTGGTCTTTAAACTAACCTACTCAACTGTTTATTTATACACCAAGAATATTGTTTTCTTGTGCTTTCTTTTTTGATACATCACACGAAAAGCGCGCTCTGGCGATAGCACGTTGGACACAGCAGGACACGGCAGATCCATCCTCGAGCATTTGAAGTGAACCTGGCGAAAAAACATGTATCTTGTAAGGGGGCCTGTGCGGGTGTGTTGGGGACTCTCACATCGCTTGTTGGAGTTTCTTGGGTCAAGCACGTTGCTCTAAGCGTTTGCAATGGCTGGCTTTCGCACCCTCACGTGTCAGGTGTATATAAAAGGGACTTCGGGACGCATATGTTGCTTTTGTTTTGATGAGTCACGTCGCTGTGACAGTTGGGAAAATCGGAGTGGCCAAAATTTGTTGTTTGACGCGTGAATTCACCACCAACTGGCGAGTGCGCCACAGTTGCAGATGTACGCTGCGCGTTGTTAACCCCTCCCGTCCTCACCCCACCCCACACACATAGCACATGATTTCAAAACATGACACAACACTTTGGTGTAGCATGTGCAATGAACGTCTTTACCCCCCACCATCTTCCAGCCCATTCCCCCTCTCACACACACAGACTCGCACATCACGTACTTGTAGCACATTGTTTCAATGAAACAAAAACACCAAAAAAACCTTCTCCGCGGTCCAACACTTGTACCATTGATGTTGTTTGTATCGTTTGAACATGCTCGATATGTTCCATGAGCGTTCCTAAACATTTGCCATAATTAAACTACAAACAGTGCGAATCACGCGAACCCTCGGAGTTTTCCAGGATTGAATGCCGAGTACTTCATCTTGGTTTTCGTGCTTGCATTGATCTCAGTCCAACCCGCCACAAAGCACGGTTCGCAGAGGTACAATTGATATTGTTTGACATCGTTTGATCGAGATCAGGGAATGGAACGTGTTTCTTCAGAATTTGTTTTACACATTAAATGACCTGAAAAAAACGGAACACATCAATTTAACGTCAGGGCAACGGCCACGTGGTTTGCCTTCCGAGGTGGTCATTGCCTTTGGCTTCGTCGTGGCTCTCCTCGGGTGCCGACTTTGAGAAAGATTCGGAGTTCAAACGAATACCGCCTGGTTCGTGATTGTTTTTCTTTGATTCTAGCAAACTCAACTCTGCAGTTTGAGATGGTGATGTTTGTATTTGTGTTTTTGTAGCAGGTGTCCACCGCACAAGACACATGGACGTAGGAGACTTCGTAGAAGGAGAGCAAGATCAAACGACACCATGTGCACGCACGGCCAGGCTGAAGGCCATCACGCCAGAAAAGGAGTGGGACATCTAGCCTCATTTGTTTGTGTGATTGAAGTTTTGAGCAGCAAGATATAATTTGGGTAGATAAGTTTTGTAGATAATTAATGAGATTACAGTATGCAGCGAATCACAGCCAGGAGAATGTATGCTTATCGAACCACTTCTACTATTACGACATACCTTAAAAGTGTCTGGCATGTCTTAACAAGTTCCAGGTGCGATGCATCAACATGTTTAAGTTTATATACAGTATACAATATATTGACGGGTTCACAGTAATTACATAAACAATAGCATACAATAGCCCTTTAGCAGACCTTATGTAGCCATTTTCGTATCATGAGATGGTGAGCATGATAAACAATGGACATGATTCCAACTATTTGTAGAAAGGACAAACTATCCTGCATCTACCAAAAAAGCACAGCTGGTTTACTGCGTTGACGGTGACCACAGCCCCAGCAGCGCCCAGTAACGCATGAGGTCCACGGATGATGCTTGAGGGGGAGCAGGCGAGTGATCCAACTAGTTTTCAGACCTCAAAGAGTGTCTTGGTGGCGTTCTTGGTCATTCTGGTGATCCCTCCAAAGTGTTGGGCTTGCAGTGTTTGTTGATCTTGACCGTTCAGAGGGATGGTCGGCGGAAACATCTATTTGCCTGACTGCAGTGTACTTTTCATTCCATATCATTTGAGTCTCAGCGTTGCAGTGCCATCAAACATAATGATGCTGATCCAAACTAGCAATGTGTTCCAGTCAAATAAATCAGAGGTTCAAGAAGAAGCGTCGCCGTCGTCCTCGTCATGACATCCAATGAGTCAAGATGAAAGTCTTTTGAAAAGTGGATTGGGGAGCAAGATTCAGTAGGTTCAGGTTTTTGCTGATTTACTTGTGATACCCAGCTGGTGGCGTTGGATCTCTCATGATCTTGCGAGGGAGCACGAGTCATAGAGAGCATGCTGTTCATTTTTGGGGGTCATGTTTAAAGACCTCTTTGCATTGGCAGCTGTGGTACCTGTGTGGCAGGCTGTGGCGGCCTAACAATTGCAGTAGTTCACTTTTGCCGCACATTCTCAATCCAGTTGCAGTTGATTGAAGAAAATTCATGCAACGTCCATTTCTAGGGATTGAAGGCCCGCCATAGCCGCGCAGACAAAGGAAGATTCACCCACATAGGTGACTGCGACACATACGTTGAATGTGCATTATTGGAGGAAGAATCAACGTTGCCTGAGCCGCTGGAAGCGCTTCCTGCAAAATGGTGAAGACGATGATTTCTATTCAAGTGACGGTCATCCGTCACAGACGGTGTTTCTATCGACATTATATACGCAACTCACCATACTTACTTGAACCAATGGTGTTCTGTTTGAGTTTACAGTGGCTTGTAAGCTCGGGTCTTAGGACAAATGTTGATCCGCCAGAGTTAAGTGATACAACAACCACTAGCGGCCAGCCCTTGTCACTTGTCACTATTGACTTGATAAATGCCGAGAAGTTGCCCTATCAATTAGCTTAAAACCATCTCTGAAACTATTTGTGTCCCTTGTGTCTCTTTTGCTCCCACTCTCTAAGACCAAGAGATGTCGCCCTGATTTGTCAAAACATGTCAGGACAAGACGTTCAAATCAATGCTGCTGCCGTTTCAGAAGCCCCAAGATTCTTTTGAATTTTTCACCGTGGATTGATTCCACTCCTTTTTAAGCCTCTTTTGGAGCCTCGCCTGCAAGCGCACGTTGGAGTGTGTGGTTTCCAAGTCAAACCCAGTGCAACAATCCATTCAACATCAGTCCCTGTTGACACAAGTGACATATTCACACAGACACACAACCTCCGCCCACAAATGCCAACACTACTTTCCAAAAGAGAGCCATAAAGCATGTTCTAATTTTCAATAGCTGGACATCCGGGCTGCCAGCAAATGGCAAACTCACGCAAATGAGTAATTAGTTGCGAAAGCCAGTAAGCTGGGCTGAAGTGTGGGGGGGGGGCAGATTGTGCCAATGGTGCCAAACCAATTTATATACTGTATTTGTTTGTATTTTTGGTGAGTTGATGATGCAGAAAATACAAGTCAGAGTGGCTCCGGTATCATTTGCAGCAAGGTAAACAGTGGGAAGGAGAAGACATGTTTGTGCAGGCTAAGATTGCTACGTATAAGGGCATCATTTTCCTCGATCGAAAAGCATGCAGGCCGCCAAAGTTAAACTGGTTTGTGTGTATACATCTCAGATTGTTCTATGACAGCATGTCCAACAGTTGTTTCCATCAGCAAGGTGGATGCGCAAGATGGGTATACGGTATATAAATATATATATATGTATATAAGTTTCTTCGCTCGAAAAACATGCACACCAAAGCTGACGTGGTTGTGTATGTGGATCTCAGGCATGTGGCGTTTGCCATATGACCGCCCAATTACTATAATTTACTATAATATATAAGTGGTACAAACCAGACCTGCATGCAGCAGCATAAAATTAACATGAGGAACTTGTTTCGTCTACATCAATGTATTGAGAAATCAAAGAATTTTCGATAAGTACGTGGTGCACCCAGGACCTGCATGCTGGTTTCTACCGGCTTTCGTTCCCCCCTTTTCAGGTTTGTGTGAGTCTCCGAAATCTTGCACATACAAGTGATTCCTGACATCCTCCTGTTCTGCTTCAATTTTGAGTATGCCGTGTTTCGTATGACATTCGCTTTACAATTAACTATCCCAACTTTTGGTTGCTGCAACGACAACACAGCACACACACAGTGCTCACACGCTACCCTGCTATGCTCGCTTTCATCGATAGTCAAGTCATGTCAAGTTCATCTGAGGAGAAACGCGCCAGCTAGCAGCTAGCACATTAGTTGAAAGAATGTTTTCACTTGGCCATGGTCTCAGTCTGGATTCCGGCCTGCAGAGGAGAGAGAGAGAGAGAGAATCAGGCTTCTTGATGGGTGAGCAGTTAACAGCAGCTTGCAGGTGATGGAGTAACAGTGATTACAATAGCAACTAACATGTTATGTGTTTAAGTTGAAGGTGATGTTCGTTGGAGATGACTAAACAAATGAGCAGGCCGCGCTTGTGTGTTTAGCATTGGGCAAACCAGCACAGATCCCGCCTATTTGCCCCCTGAGGTGACTTGCAGCTGCATGGTAGGCCAGGTTGTTTCGCGTGTGGAAGGTACCTCAAATCCCCGAAGCAAGTCATGCAGTTGATGTTTTCTGTTTGCGGCAAACTGACAAAGTCGAGGATGTTTAGGTGTGTGTTTGCCGCATGGATTAGAGATGAGAACAACAGCGCAGCAATCCTAGGTCTTATGACTTATGCAAGTCTTTTTGACACCACTCAGCCAAAACTGACCACGGAAGGGCATTTTTGTTCCTGCAAGCTTATTGCGCACCATTCGCTCTGAGAGACAGCACAAGAGAAAAGACTAATACCCCTGCATAGTACCGTTCATCTCTAGGTCCGGTCGTTTGTCAATTTGTTGTAATCACTCTATTTTTCAACCCCTTGAAATCGTACGTAGTTATTTTTTGAAAGGGACCTGAGCACCTTCGCTGCGGGCGGATTCCTAACAGACATTGGTCGCCCATCCGCTTTGTGACTCAGCCAGGTTCGAGCTTCAACAGGTTAAGAACAAAATGTAAGTCTGGAAACATGGCACGCCTGCTGATTCTGTTTAGGACACAACGAGAAGAACGGCCGGGTGTGCCATCATATGATTTGCTGATTCAAGAAGGAGCCAGTGGCGTGGAATTCGGTCACACATTTCATACGCTGATGTTTGTTTTGACCTTTGCTCAATCAAAATGCAGTTGCTGCTTGGACTCTGCAGTGTTGAACTCAATCGCTGAACTGTTCAAATCGTGTTTGTGAAAGTTTGCTGCTTTTGCATGTGGTTCTGAACATTCTCAGTTAACAAATGAAAGAGCATCACCCCATGGTGCAGGAATGCGTCAGCAAAATTTGCAATTGACCACGGTGACTCAGCTTTTCAGATGATGGAGTTTCCAATCACTGAGCATAGCGATTTGGACCGCCAATCGGAGTTTACAAGATTTTACAAGTTTTGACCTATCAGAAGGTACGAGGGCGGGCACTTCACCACAAAGAGCGTTGTAGTTTCCTTGTTAGTTTTCACATATTCCACGTCATGAAACCAGGCCTTAAGAGACTCCAACCCGAGGATATATGCCTCAGGATGTAATGTTTCTGTTTTTTGTTTCTATTTTCTTGCGAGCCAGGCATGTCACGCATCTCCCATGCACATACCTTTCAAAACCATAAGGTGATGTTCCTTGAGACTTGCGAAAGAATCGCTGACGTCAGATTTCTCAAGCAGTCGTACTTTTCAACACTGAGAAGCTTTGTTTTCTCATTTATGGTTACGTCTGTAGTCGTCCAACCGCAAGTCTGGGTGGGTGAGTGTGTTTGTATATTATATAATTATATGTTCTTATGCCGGTGATGTTGCTGCCAGAGTTTTCATACTATTCGTGGTCAAGATCTAAGCCACAGGAACGCTGTCAACATGTTTAGCAACATTGTGCCATGGTTTCAACGTGTTTGTCCAGCTTTAATCGGAGTTGTTTGACCCTTTATTTCAACCTTCTCTCTTTAACCCACCATGATACCACGCAAAACCTGGTCCGTCCTTGCTTCAATATGAAGATTAACAGCAAAAATGAGATGACATCTTGAGTCCAATGTTCTCATCCCAGTTGCCTGTAATAAACCTCTTCGCTGTTGACGCACAACGTCCTTCTTAACTTCTCTAAGCTGAGCAATCCTTTTTGTTCAACTTAAGTTTCCATGTATCCAATACCTTTTGCGCTGGACGAGAAAGACTGATGGTGTTCCTACTGAGTTGGTTCTGGCATGGATAATCCCGATGGTGAACAGCGCTTTGCAGTCTCATGGGTTTCAAAAAGGAAGGATGACGACGTTGTGATTGTGTGCATTGAAGGCATCGAGGAATGAGGCCGTAGGAGTATGGCTGAGGTTGCTCCACCTTGGATGAGTCCGGGTGACACAGAAACGCTGGCCTTGGCAACATTGCATGAAAGACATGTTGGGATCCGCTGGGATTAGTCAGATCCCGAGCGAGCGAAGTTGACATCCAAATTGACGGGTGCCTCAACAAGTTTGGGCTTGTTCAGGGCTGCCAAAGATTGCTGCTATTGGATGCTATTGGCTATTGGTAGATGACACAGACAGGACTCCTGAGTTGTCAACACAGGCATGGGAGACAACCTATCATTACCGTTATGTGGACCGAACCAACCCTGTGAACGGCAAGAATCCTCCTTACGAACCCCCGTTTCGAGGGAAGAACATTTGCCTTTCCACCGTTAAGAGTTAGTATATCTCCTGACTAGAAAAACGCCGCTTTGTCCTCTAACCTACTAGCAATGGCCTCCAACCTACGAAGAACTTAATAAGTAATAGGTTGTGTTTCACTGCCGCTAAGTGGTGGTGCAGATGGGAAGTGGTCTAGAGTCTAGATCAGTCATTTTTTGTCAAAGGAAAAAAGTAAATAGTGTGCCAGACTGAAAAGTTCCAAACATACCTAAAAGATTCAAACCATATCAAAGTATCTCAAAAGTGCATAAAACATGCAGAAAAGCTTTAACCATCTGTCAAACAAGTAAACAAATACAAACAAACTGCAACAACATAGGAAAATAGTCACGCGGTGAACGTCGCCCTGACATGACATTGAAGAGTATTCTGCAGGCTTTTCGGGTCTCAAAGATTTCTGAATATTTGAGGTTGTTCTTGTCAAACGTGATCAATTGCAAGGTGAGCGCGCAGGAGAAAAACATAGAAAAACACGGGCTGCGAGGGCTAGCGTATCCAGGGAATGCTGAAAATAAGAGAACACAGTGTAAAATCAAAAAACAACATGTTAAATTTGTTATATATATTTTTTTGTGTTGCTTGTTTGTTTTTATATTCATGATTGTATGTTAAACTGTGGTGTTTTGAAATTTGTATGCAAAGAACGTAGGCAACCAAACCCGGGCTGATCCAATCCACCCTTAGTCTCTCTGAGAGCTTGCTCGGCTTTCACAGTTACAGTAATTAGGTTCTGGGTGGACGTTTACTTCTTGGGAACACAAAAAAGTGCACCTTAATGTGTAAAACTGTCCTTTGAAGTACTCTGAAGTTCTGGCAGGATATTGCACAGCTATTGCTATGTTGGGAATGCCAAATCCACTGCAAATGCTTTTGTTTGATTGAGTGTTCCTCCTGGTTCAAGGTGGTGCACATGCTTGCCATCAAATGCGGGAATGATCCAGCAGCCAGGAGATACTATTTTCGCTGCCACAAACTCCAAACACCGTCTATAAATATAAACAACAAGAAGACACCTTTTGCGTTTTCATCAATGTTGCGGATGTTTGCAGGGTAATGAGGAGCACTGGAATCCTCCTCCATCTCATGATGCCAGGGAGCACCCGAGAAAATTATACCAGCGTAGACCCCAAACAGTCAGTTTGTGCCTTTATGAAGTAAGCCATAGAGACGAACTGTCAAACAGTCAACGGCTCAAACCCTTTTGGGCTTGTTTCAGCACTTGTCTCAATTGGCTCCAGGTCAGAACCGACAATTCAGACGAAAACAGAACATACACAAATCTACTGAATATGCTGAGTTGTACTGACATGTGGCTGTATCATGCTTTGTTTGGTTAAAAGATGCTAAAAGCTTTCAACCCAAGGTGAGACAAGCAGGCAGGCAAGAAAAGAGACAAGCGAAGAAACAAGGTAGACGAGCAGATAAAACAAGTGGAGGCAAGTGTAACAAGAAGGGAGACAAAAGCAGAAAGACCACCAGGGAGACAAGTGGTGGACAAGTGTAAAATCACCCGGCCGAGAGTATCCAAGCATGGAGACAAGCAAAGGGACAAGTGGAGACAAGTGCATCCGGCTGAGAGCCTCTGACCAAGAGTATCTATATAAGTTGGAGACAAGCAAGAGACAACTCCGGCCAAGTGTATCCAGAGTAGTCTGAGGCAAGTCGAGACAAGTGCAACAAGAAGGGAGACAAGCAGGGAGACCAGTGTAAAAGCATCCGGCCGAGAGCATACAAGAAAGGAGACAAGCAAAGCAACAAGTGGAGACAAGTGTAAAAACATCCGGCCAAGTGTATCCAGAGTAGGCCGAAAAAGTGGGACCAGTGGAGACAGGTGGAAAAACATCCGGCCAAGTGCATCCAGAGTAGGCAGAGGAAACATCAGCCGAAGAAGACTCACGCGGCCCAGATGACCCAAGGGAGACAAGTGGGAGACAAGTGCAAAACCATGACAAGTGGGAGACGAGCGTAAAATCATGCGGCCAGAGCACCCAGAGTATACTGCAGACAAGGAGAGAGAAGTGGGAGAGAAGTGTAAAATCATGCGGCCAGAGCACCCAGAGTATACTGGAGACAAGGAGAGAGAAGTGGGAGAGAAGTGTAAAATCATGCGGCCAGAGCACCCAGAGTGTACCTGGAGACAAGCGAGACAAGTGGGAGAGAAGTGTGTTGGGAGACAACCGCAACATCATGCGGCCAAAGCAATCGCAGTGTGGCAGGAACGCAAACCCGGAGACAAATGTAAAATCATTCGGCCCAGGCTCGCAACCCTTTCAAGGGAGTAAGAACCCCTCACAGGTAAACCTGTTTGGGGAATAATCAATGGGAAAATAATAGGAATATATAATAGTAATAAATACTAGTAGCTATTATTGTTTTTTCGGGCTAAGGTTGGGAACGACCATGTTTAAAGGCAAAAATCATTTTCTAAAATGAGTTTCTAGTCCAAAATTTGCACCGGCTATGCTTAAAGGCAAACAACATTTTCAGAAAATGAGTTTCTAGTCTAAAACTTGCAACGGCCATGCTTAAACGCAAAAATCATTTCCAAAAATGATATTCTAAAATTGGCATCGGCCATGTTTAAGTTAAGGCTCCTTACCTGAAACTTTAGTTTCCTAGAGTTAGGTTTCCAGCGGCTTGAAGGTTCGAAAGATGTGGCATGTAGCATGGGGGCTATAGATAGTTATTGCCATGGAAGATGACCTTGAAGAGTTCGATATCAATGCGTGTTGTTCTGATGATTTCGTTTCCGATGGACCTAAAGGGTGCAAATCGGATCCAGGGAGTCTTATTTTGAATCTTGAACGGAGCACAAATGCCCATGAGTATGCAGCTTCGGATTTTTCAGAGCAAATTCCTTTTGTCGAATCTTTGAGGGACTGCAACTATGATCCTGACCATGCAGTCAGACGGTCCTGGACGTCTTTGCAACACAAGACTCAACAGGGACCATGAATTCATATGAGCAACTGTTCCGACCCCAGGTGAACCAGGAAAGCGTCACCGCTGAACTAGATGCATCGTTCGTCAACCGTCCAAGAAACTGACTTTTAGCTGTTATCAGCAAGTAGTCAAGGATGTTCCTGTCATGACCTGGAAAGAGGAGCGCGAAGCCACAGGGGAGCGCGCCATTCGTAGATGGCTGTCAATGATCGAAACCTGGAACAAAGAAGAAACCATTGTCAGGCATGTGCTGAGCCTGCAGAAATTCACTCAAAGGGCACAAGTGCTGATGGATGTGTTTTACAACAAGTCTCCGGCAACGTTGGCGAAACGTGGCATTAGTTTGGCTAGACTTGTGAACCAAACGAACTGTGAAGAGGTTCAGTTTCCTTGTTCTGAAGAATACTTGTACAAATACTTGCGCAGGGAGAGAGAAAATGGAGCAAAAGCATCGAGGTTGAAAGCACTCATCGACACATGCTGGGCATTGAAACTTTGGAGGAGTGTCTAGTTAGCAGGCGTTGTAGGGGTGCAGCTTCCAGTACAACGATTGGAGCAATCAGACAAGCGCCGCCACTGCAAGTCCAACACTTGTTAGCCTTGACGTAGCGTTGCACGAGTCAAGCGAGCTTTGGGATGCAGCGTGTGCCGGGATGGCCTTGTTTTGCGTATATGCGCGTGCATGGCGGACGGATGCCCAGCATGTAGAAGCCCTTAGTTTTGACTTTTTCCGAAACAGGTGACCTAGTATTTGTTGAGGGTTCGACCGGAGTGCGTAAGACAGCCAGAGCCTTGCAGTTGAGGCACGCATTCCTTCCACTGACAGCGCCAGCAACTGGCGTCCATCAGCTGAACTGGGCGGCAAGGTGGAAGGAAGTGAGAGAGCTTTTGAACATCGAAAATATAAAAGCTTTTCCTCCCATGCCAGCGCCAACCTCAAGTGGAATGGCTACTTCCAGGCCATTATCCACTTCTGAAGCTGGCAAATGGATTAACATGCTGATTTGCAGGAATTTAAAGTGCGAAGTAGTTTACACCTCGCACTCTCTCAAAGCCACACGCCTGTCGTATTTAGCCAAAGCAGGGTGCGGTTTCGCAGATCGCCTGGCACTGGGGTACCACACAAACCCCCTCCGGATGGCCTTGACGTATAGTAGAGACGGTGCAAGTAGGCCTTTAAGAATCTTTCTTGATGAAGGTCCTCACAGACATCCGCTCGGGCAAATTTCGCCCAGATTCAACTAGAAGCGGACGCTTTATTTCAGAAACAAACAACCGGTGCAACTTCCCATAGCAAAGTTGGCAAAGTAAGAAGAACCGATTGTGCTGGACAGAGAAGTTGTTCATGTTGACACTGAACCGGATGTTGAGACAAAAGAAAACCACTTCAGTGATCATGTGACAACCTCGTCGTCATCTTCTAGTGGAGATGGTGCGCCCGGAAAGAGATACGGTCGCATTAAAGGTTGATGAGTCGGTTGACGTCTGGAAACACAAGAAACTGCATACAGTTCACCTTGCGCTCAAGGGGTGCAAACTAAGCTTCTTATGTGGAAGGAAGATAGGTCAGCAGCACGAACGAACGACTGGGCACCAGCGTTTCGATGTCTCACAGTGCAGGCAGTGTTTTCGCAGCAGAGCACTGGAGCATGAGCAAGGCTGACGAAGTCCGTGGCTTTGTGAAAAAGCAGCGGACCGGTAATTTCAAGTGGAGCT